GTTAATAAGAACGCTTGACTGAAGAGCGTAGCGTCTCTCGTTTACAGAACTTGTCACCATTTGGTGAATTACGTGGATGTTAATAACAACGCTTGACTGAAGAGCGTAGCGTCTCTCGTTTACAGAACTTGTCTTCATTTGGTGAATTACATGGATGTTAATAAGAACGCTTGACTGAAGAGCGTAGCATCTCTCGTTTACAGAACTTGTCATCATTTGGCGAATTACGTGAATGTTAATAAGAACGCTTGACTGAAGAGCGTAGCGTCTCTCGTTTACAGAACTTGTCACCATTTGGTGAATTACGTGGATGTTAATAACAACGCTTGACTGAAGAGCGTAGCGTCTCTCGTTTACAGAACTTGTCTTCATTTGGTGAATTACATGGATGTTAATAAGAACGCTTGACTTAAAATACTTAAAAACAGCGTTATTTCAAGCAAATATTACAAACCTTTTCCGAATGCTCCCCAACTACACAGTGTGCCTTCGCCACTCATTTAATTTTTCCTCCAAAAGTAGCTCCCCTATTTATATATTTCTACCTACGCTCCTGATGAGAGAATTACATAGCTGTTAACAACTAGCGAAGTGGGTTTGTTTGTTTGTTTGTTTTGGAATTTCGCGCAAAGCTACATGAGGGCTATCTGCGCTAGCCGTCCCTAATTTAGCAGTGTAAGACTAGAGGGAAGGTAGGTAGTCATCACCACCCACCGCCAACTCTTGGGCTACTCTTTTTACCAAAGAATAGTAGGATTGACCGTCACATTATAACGCCCCCACGGCTGAAATGGCGAGCATGTTTGGTGGGAAGCGGATTCGAACCCGCGACCCTCAGATTGTGAGTCGAGCGCCTTATCCACCTGGCCATGGCGAAGTGGGTTGTCTATAGTTGAAAAACAAGCGATCACTGAGTGAATAATGAGAAAGACAAGCAATACAGTAATAAAAACGATACGGACAAGCCAATAGTTGCATACATAAACTGATCCACACATGTATGGATAAACAGACAGTGGTTTATGTGTATATATAAACTGAATTATAGCAGGATTAATAAATATTCCAAAAATTAATGAATAAAGGTGAATATGATATATATACCTTATCCACTGCATACGAAGCCTTCCGATAATACCAAAAATCAACAGGCTCACTAAGATAAACAAACGTAGTTGTGGGCTAGGTGCTTTTAATATCCTCATCTTTCTTCAACAACGACTGATATGGTGTGAACTAAATTAAATAAATCAATTATTATTATTCATTTAAGTCATATTTACAAGTTAGACTTTAAGGTAAGAATTAATAACGCATTATTATTATTTTTTTTTTCTAAAAACCGGCAGTTTATTTTATAGTTATTAGTTTATTTGAATTACGACAGGCGGGTAGATAATACTCGTACAACATGGTATAAACGGGAAAAATATATAGTTTACTAAATTTATGTGCGTCTGCAGGGCCGTAGAAATCGATAAGGCCATTCAGGCCATGGCCTGACCTCTTTTCCATGGCATGTATTAAAACTTGCCTCTTCTAATCCAATACATTATGTTGTATGTATACAGTCTTTGTAGTTAAAATGGCTCAAGATTCAACCTCCTAGCATTAAAGTTTAAAATTTTTATGGGGGACATGCCCCCATGCCCCATAGTTTTCAGAGCCGCGTGCATACAGAGTACAAACGGTTGATTTCTCGAAGTGACTGGAACAATCACGCACGTTATAACATTATTGACATTCACTATTACACAGCGTGTAGCTATCTCGAGCTTTATCCCGCTGTTTTATGACGTCATAATGGTTCATTTTTCATGCTAGTGCGTGTGTACTTCTACTGTAACTATGCATATCAAATCGAACCGAAACATTGTGGTCTTGTTCTAACGATAACAATAAAAACACATAAATGCCATTTGATCTGCATATTGATATATCGTGACTGCTTCAGGAAACTTTCCAATTAAGAACTTCTAGTACTAAAGAAAATACTTCGTCTGAAGCATTCTGTAGTGCAACTGCTTTTGTTTCAGAATTGTAGCGCAAAGCTACTCGAGGGCTATCTGGGCATAGCCTTCCCTAACTTTGAACCGATAGCCTAGAGGGAAGGTAGCTAGTCAACAGCACCACAGGCTACTGTTTTCTACTCTTTTCTGACCTAACAGTTGGATTTGACTGTCACCCTTATACTGAGGAGTGCGTCTTTGAGGCAACGGGTCACGAACACTGAACTCTCGGCTTCACAGTTCTAACACGCTAATCACTGGCTCAGTTGAAATGTCCTAATGTATTCTTATTAAGAAGAAACCCTTATCAAGCAAACGGATGGATATCAAGATTAATACACTTAATACAAGTTAAGATTAAGGCACTATTCTCACTCACTGGAACCTGTATTAAACAAGTTAAGATTAAGGCACTATTCTCACTTACTGGAACCTGTATTAAACAAGTTAAGATTAAGGCACTATTCTTACTTACTGGAGCCTGTATTAAACAATTCAATATT